CTGTATAAGACAAAGTTTGGTTGACCAACTCATTGTTGGCTTAATTAGCTTTGCATTTCCTTAATTAGATTTAATGATTTAAACTGGTACTAAACCCATAGTTTGCTTCAGGCATCCAAAAAGGAGCTTTTTTTGGTAAGATTTATCTTTTTTCTACGAGAAGATTTAGCTTTATTTTTATCTTTTGAGTTTAAAACTAGTAGATCAACTTAAAAATGGTCAGATTTTGTTTTATGTACCATACAAACTGAACATTCCTGGCAGCGAGGCTCTTCAGGGAGTGTTTATTTGGGTTGCTATGGAGGGATCAGCTTGTGGTTTAAAGACTGGTGGCAGGACTGAAAGTGGAGCTGAAGGTTTCATCAGAAGAATCCAACCTTAAAACGGTTTCTTTCTCCTTTTCAGCAGCTAAAGGCAGAGAAGTCTCTTAAATGTGTTCATTTAAAGTAATTACACTGAATTACGGTGAAATTCATTAACTATTGTAATGAACAAAGCCAGAGCTCATTCGCTCAAAGTTCTTAATCTGATCCGATCAAGGTGTGAGCACACAAAGCCCAGCAGTGTTAATAGATGTAGCACAGGGATATTGGAATGAGTTTAATTGGGAAAGCTCTCTTCCTCCTTCAAGCCTCAGTGGAGATCCCTTGAAATGGCGAGCATTTAAACTTGAATCGATCCATGTTCAGAAAATCAGCAGATGATGAGCAAACTCTGTTTTCCCTGCAGCCTTGCTGGGATTCACCCTCTAAACCTGAATCATTCAAACAGATCTGATTAAAAATATAAACGAGGTGAGATACATGCCAGAAAAATGAGCATTTCCACATAACTTATTCCTTATCAAGAACCTTGCTTGCCTCCACCCGCCCCACTCCCCCGTGAAGTTATCTCAGTCATTTTTTCCCTCCTATTTGCAGGCAACATTCATTTATTAGTTTGTGAAAGAGGGGCTATTCATCACTGCTGGGCTTGCAGGGCATGTGACAGGTCCTGTGGAGATGCAGATTTGGTCATAGAAACACTTTCAGCCTTTTATGCCTTTTAACGCGCCCTCTCCCAGTGTTCACTGCAGGCAGAGAGATACAAGCTGGCCCTCAGAGAGCTGGGAGCCAGCTCCTTTGCTTTTATCTGTCAACGCTCACTGTGCAGCTGGAAAAAGATGTTTACCTTCATTATTTGCAGAAACTTATTTTAGACCGTTTGTACTGTCTGCCACTGCATGTTAATTCAACATCAACCTGTATCAGCGTTGGCCCATGGGGCCCACAGAAAGACGATGTTTTCGGCTGAGCATCTGTTCCTGTCGGAGAAGAATTACTTTTTGGTTTGAAAAGTGTCGGTTTTAACATGATGGAGAACACCTTAGCGGTTGCAGTACGATCCAACATCTGTCCTGTATGTAAATCAGCGCATGTGTTCAGAAAAGGCAGCTGAGATGAAACATCTTTGTTCAGTTTTCCTACAAACGTGGAAACAACGGCCCTGAAGAACATCTTTTGTCTTTATATTCTGCCTTTTCTGGGTGTTTTTTACCTACAAAGCTGAGAGTGTTTCCCTCTACCTGTTTTCTTCAGTGACAGAAATGTGCTCTGCAGCTATTTTTGGTTAATTATTACAGATCCATCAATTAAAACCGACACAACTCCTCTTTCAGCCTCTTTGGCCCCTTGAACACACACTTGCCTTGTCTTATTTAAAACCCCTGGAAGTCCTTGTTGTCTGTGCATCAGATGGTCCTAATGTGCCGACAAGCTTCTTGCTCAGAAGGTCTGCAGTTCAAGCCTGATCTATCCTCATGTGACCTGAGCACAGAGAACAAGTCCTGTGTTGCAACTTAAACCTCCCTATGATTTTCTGTGGTGTATTCATCAGCCTTTTATTCTTCCATGTGTCTTACTTAAAAACAAAACTCTTCAGTTTCTCAGTGGGCTTATTTTTCTGATGGATTAATAGAAAGTAGTGTAGCCAGAGTTACTCTCAGTCGCTTCCCTGATTTTATGCTCCCCTTATCTGGTCTGCCAATTAAGGAGGACAGCCAGGTCTTGCGTAGATTTGCAGTTGGTTCATAATCGTCTCCTTTCTGAGTAAGGGATTAGGCTGTTCCTTTGTCCTCATACCGCTGTTCGTTTAGCAATGTTAAAACCATGGATCATTAACCTTCCATTTCACACTCATGTTCTTTCCTTTAAAATCCTAATGGGACATTAAGGTTTTTGGTTGTAAAAGTTAATGTCAAAACTTAAAGGGGTACCAATACTTTTACTTGGCTCTGTGCTATGGCAATCCTTCACATAATGACCAGTAACTGTTGCTTCCGTTCTGCATTAAGGTTTTTTCCCCCCCTATTTTTTTAAAAACGTGCTGGAAATTGTGTAAAGTTCTCTGTTGGCGCCACTTATGCAAAGCCACAGTGCATGAGCTCCAGGCTCATGAATCACGGACTGCACACTGTTTGAGTACAGCATTATGTAGATGTGTCATTAGGCGCGGTGCATTTATAAAGCCAAGCTGAAAGGCTGGAAAATATATTGGAAATAAACATTGTGTGCCCAAATTCTGCAGTAATGGAAACTCTGTGTCAAAGATAAAAATTTACCAAAATTACTGTATTCAATAAACCGAGACCACAACCACAAGAAAGATAATGCCGTTTTCTTAACAGATTCTCACATTCATCAATCTCTCTAATGCATGTTTTTCTTTTGTGTGTAAACTTGAATTAGAGGGCTGTAGATTCATTAAAAAACTCTTCCTCACTAACACTTTCAACCAAATGTCTGATGCATTAACTGTCCAAACATACAGAAGGATGCAGCTGGTTTGCACAGTTATATATAAATTATTTGCCAGCCTCAAGCTGCTATAGCCAATCTGGGAAACTGCTTCTTCTCTGAGATTATTAACTATATTTTCCTGTTTAATATTCTTTACCATTTTTGCATTTAGTTTTTTTTTTCTCTACTACATACTCTACATAACAAAATGAGATCCCTATGTTTTAAAGTTATATTTATTTTGAGATTAAGGTACTGACAGTGTGTTTTTAAACTGATTTTAACTCAAGAGACTCAAGAATTAAAGCTACAGTGTGTAATAATTACAGGGATTTACTGACAGAAATATAATATATTATACATACATTATATATAATAATCTGCGAACAGAAAGTCTAGATCTTCATGTCTGCAATGTGTTAGAAATAGCTATTTATAATTGCATAGGAGCAGGTCTCATTTATGGAAGCAGACATCTTTGTGCTATGGCAGCACAGAGCTGACAAACTACTGACTGTAGGTATTCTCTTCCTCGTCCAATAAGCCCCTTGTCACCATCAAGACTTGGACTCTGTAAACTATATATATATATACAGTCATTTTGCATGATTTATTTTTCTTTTCCATCTTGCTCTTTCTGACATTTAGAAGTGCTGCACATAATCTTTTCCTGATCATCTAACCTTAAATATACTAGTGAGCTAGCCATGCTCACTTGAAATAGTCAAACCTATTATGAAATGGAAGGTTTGACTATTTCAACATTTCATAAAATAATCTGCTTTAATTCTTTATATAAATGTTTTTATCTATAAGGGATTTAAGTTCTGAAGTGTGCCATTTACCAAGGCCACCGCTTTGATAGGCCACAAATAAATTGGCCACCATCCATCCATGCATTTTCCGTCACGCTTATCCCAAGCTGGGTTACGAGGGGTGATGGTGCCTATCTCCAGCTACCTAAGGGTAGAGAGGCAGGGTACACCCTGGACAGGTCACTAGTCCATCGCAAAAATGACCAAACATTGCTAAATTTTAGGATAGGTTTGATTATAATACCTCCCTGAATTTTTAACTGAATCTTTGCTTATTCTGAGTCAATTCTTGCAGCCATCTTTGCCATTACTAGATGATTGTGTATTTTAGAGTTCATTTTAAAAAAAATTTGTTTTTAAGCATTTGTCTGACCTCTCTCAGCTTCAATGACATTAGTGAGACCTATTTTGACCCGATTTGTTTTAATTGGTTTTATGTATTTAATCTTTTATTGTTCTTATGTGTTTTCTATTCAGTGTTTTTCTTTAAATACGTTCTTTTAATGTTTCCAGAGGAGTTTGTGTGTGTCTGTTTGTCTGTTTACAGATTTTAATTAATTAAGTATTTATCAGAGGTGTCCCTCATTCCAAGGAACAATCCAGTGAATTTTGGTTATGATCCAGATCATAATCTGGATACAGGAGTTTTTTTTTGTTTGTTTGTTTTTTAAGATGCTCTAACATTGTGAGATATTTGGCGGAACAAGCAGTTCCCCACTAAACCAGAGGGTGGCAGCAGTGTCTATTGACAGCCTCAGCATCTGACTCGAAAAGTGTGGAGGTATTTGACTGAAGACAAAAACACAAGAAAAGGGAAAGTTGTTGGTTTGTTCGCAGGTTTAGTTGAAAACTTATATAGGGATTTTATGATTTTTTATTTTTTTTACATTGTGTGCCTCATGCCAAGGAACAATTCATTTCAATTTGGTAATGATCCAGATCATGTGGAAGTCTTAGCTACAGGTGTAAATCATAATTTGGGGCAAAATTTGCAGCTTGGCTTGTCTGTTTTCCTATATAGTTGTAGTTTCCAGTTTCCTGCACTATGGTTTAGTTGAAGCTATTATGATGAACTTTAAAAAATTCTGAAAACTCTCAGATTTCTGTGTCCATGTCTCTGAAAATGTCTACAATTCTCTGTATCATACAGAGGGTTTTTTTTAATGCCCGCACTATTGATTGATATTGTAATTTCTGAAGTATTCCTGTTAATAATTATCAGACTAAATTATATAAAATATGTACAGTTTTTTATTTTTTTGTTCTTTTAACGAAAATAAACTGATATTTGAAGGATTTAGCTAATGTGTTCTTTTAAAGATCTTTTTTTTTTTGACATTTAGTTGAAAAATATGTAATTATTGAAATGCTGCAAACAAAGGGGAAAAAAACCTAAACTAGTTTTTTTTCAAGAAGCAAATGTTTCACAGGTGGGATTTAAATCTAGACGGCTGTCAACAATAGCCTCTTTATATGAGGCACCTGCTCTGCACTAAAACATGAATCAGTCCAAAATCACTTTGAAAAAGCTGGAAAGAATCCCCCCAAAGATATTGTTCCTGTCATGTGAAAGATTTTATACCAGCTCTTAAAAAAGTCTCTTAATTGAAACTCAATGATTTAGCATTCTATTTTTTTTACCATGATTATTTCTGATTGATTTTGATTGAAATGTTCAAACTTAAGGACTTAAATAATTTTTTTCTTCTTATGACTGGAATCTCCTCAGATTTGTTCAGTTTTTATAACGAGCCATCAGACTGTTCAGAACAGCAACGGAAAACCAACTGTCTTGTGATATAAACTAAGATTTATTGTTTTACTTTATATTATATGTTGGGCTACTGTATATTTTAGTAGTTCCTATAAATTGATTTTATTGTTTTGAAATTTCAACAGATAAGCCAAAAATCCACTACATCTGGCAGACATGCTGTCAAGCTCTGGCAAATATTCGATCTCATGAGGTTTTTGCTCAATATTAAAAACATAAATCAACCAGCTTGTCTTTTTCTACATTTCTATGCCTGTTTGAATGACAGAAATCACATCACCTGAAAACAACAAAATTAATACATTGGGATAAAGGGTAGAAGGAGACAATTAAATAGATGTGGTAATTAATTTAAATTAGTTTTATTAAATTCAGAATTTTTTCCAGGCTTTTAAAATTAGCTATTCCATTACTGTAGATCATGTGTATTTAGTTTGTATATGTTGAATTACTTTTTAAAGTGATTTGATGTGTTAAATGAGATTTTGTTAAATTCTGTTTTTCAGGAGATCCAGCCGTGTTTTTAGGGGTATGTCTTCGCCAGCTTGAACTTGTTTTTTTTTTTGCTTGTTTTCTATCCAAAACAGTTTAACATGCTGTAAAATAGTAACTTTTATAGGAGCTTAAAACTTTACCATTTACTAGCATCTCCCTTTCATTAAATAGACCAGCTTCCTGTCCCATGATCAAGAAAAATCAGTCCCACAGCATTACTCTGACACTGCCGTGTTTCACTGTGGTGATGGTGTATTCAATGTTAAGTGTTAGATTTCTGGGAAAACTTAGGGAATGAAGGGAATGATTTGCTTGTAGAGGGCAGAAGGTAAAGGTTATGATTCCAGTGCGACGAATGCCGCATTTTTGGCAACTTGAATGGAACTAGAGCGGCCAAACAAGTAAAGTGCGCAAAAAAGATTTGCAGAATATTTGTTGTTTCTCTCGGGAGGGATTAGGTATGGCTGAGAATGAATGGGCACAGTGGCTGCAAACTTTTTTTTTTCATAAAAACATAGATTAGAGAAAATAATGTTGACCAAGGAGGAAGGGGAGAATGCACTAAACATGAAGGCAAAACCAATCACTGTTGGTCTAGAGCACATTCTTCCATATTTCCTGTGTCTGGTCACGTGTTTGCCCCATGACTTATGATAAAATGCAAACTTTGAATGAGTTTCTTTCTTTTATTTCTTTCCTCTTTCCAAAAAGGTCAAAGTGCATTCAGAGAAATAAATAACCAATAGCCGAACACCTCCACCAGTTATCACATGTCTCTCAGCTACTTTTCTGTATAATCCTCATCTTTTCCAGCATTTCATCTTAAAGGAAAACCAGGTCCTACTAGGATTTAGCATTTGTACCATAATAATTCAATTTTTAAATGATTTAGTGAAAGGAAATCACAGAATCTCCAAGTAATCCTATAACTTTAAGTTGTGTCAGATATTGGCTTAGACCTTTGTTAGCTCATCGTTATGTCCTAGTACACAATGAGGAGGCAGGATGCATTGTGCATTGCTTTAAAAAAGTGACTGGAAACTGATAAGTGAAATGCAAACTATAAAGGGCTTTGGTTTAAATGCTATACACCAAGCTATAAAACTATAAACCAAAAGTATTCATATCATTTGAAAGTTTTTACATTTTTACCATTTTGACCTTGAAAGCTTTGTGTCCAGGCAGAGTACATTGTTGCAGGACTACTGTTGCATCAAAAAGCTCTAACCTCCTTGTGTTGGCAAATCCACTTTAAAAGCAACCCCACCACTGAAAGAGCTGGAGTGAGAAATGTCAGTGTCTTCGCCTTGTTAAATGTAATGTCACCAAACTTGAGCACCTCTGGGATTTGAAGATTGCATTTTGTAGAGTGAGGATTATATTGTAATTGCCATTGTTAATTGCCAAGCACCAGTTAACAGTAAATGTCAGAGTTGAATTCATGCCAGTGTTTGTTGATCTTAAACCATTTCTACTGTAGCTCTGACTGCTACCACCATCTTTCCTGTTCTGGGTTCAGCTTGATGTGGATTTAAACAGATCTCTTTGAGTCAGTTTTTTCCTCTCTTAAAAATCAAAGCACATATGAGCAAATATATTCCTGATGAAGTTAGCATTTGCTGTTGCTACTCTTCTGATCAGGGGTCGCGGGCACCAAGGGGCCCTCAAGGACCACATGTTTGAAACTTTATTTTATTCTGTGACTCTTCTTTTTAATCATTTATAGAGTATTTAATCATAGTAATCATATAGGGCATTTTAGCATTTATAGAGATTTTAAAATTATAATGTTTAAGAAATTAACAAGTTAACAATAAAAATGTGTTTAATTTGGATGAAGTTTAGGTGAACGCTGACCCCTCTTGTTCATAGGTCAGTATTGGTAGCCCTTCCTATGATTCGATAGCCATGAAGTAGCCCTCAGCCTTGAAATGGTTGGTGACCCCTGCTTCTGATTATGTTCTCGGTTTAGATGAACTGCCATGTTGGTGGGTTTACAACGGTGCCATACTTTATCAGCTGCAGACGATGGATTGAACAGTTCTCTGCAGGACTTTATAAGCCTTACATGTTGTTTCACAACCTGACTTTGCTTTAAACTTCTGTACAGTTTTTTTTCCCCCTATTTATCAGTCATGCTCTTAAACACCCCTCTGAGACATTCAGTGAACAGGTTGATTTATACAAAGATTAAATTACATTAGGTGGTCTCTGTTTGGTGAAGTACTAAAAACATTGATTAAATATTAATGGATGCAAATCTTACAAAAAAGAAACCAAAATAAACACAATATAATTTCCCTTGCATGTGTACCTGTCAGAATGAGTTGTGCTCTTCCAACAGATGGTTCGGGAGCAGTATGTCACCACCACCCAGGGCAGCAGCTCGCCACAGACTATGCCAGACCATGTCTACAAGATCGGCATCTATGGCTGGAGGAAGCGTTGCCTCTACCTGTTTGTTCTGCTGCTCATTGTGATCCTGGTGGTCAACTTCGCCCTCACCATCTGGATCCTCCGGGTGATGTGGTTCAACACGGTGGGCACTGCTCAAATTAACCATCACTTCCACTGCTTCTCTAGGGAACACATTTAGCAAATCTTCATAAGTACCTTCACATAGCTCACTAACAGTGCATGCACGTTGCAGAGGATTTATTCCTCCCATTAGTTAGTACTTGGCTGTCTAAAGAGGACAGTGGAACTGCTATTTCAGGGAGTCTTTCAGCTTTCTGTCTCAAGTCCAGATGGCAACTGTGGATTTATGCACAAACAGAGATGCACCAAGCAGGCTCGCACACATACTCATATATTTATAGACATGCTATTTATTGAAGAGCCTGCCCATGAGCCCAGCATTGCTATTTGGTTACCGGCTGGAAGTCCATAACAAAAGACAGTACATATGAACATATAAACTGGGCTTAAGCCTATTTGATGGTATATGTGTTTAAATGAAGTAATTTCTTTTAGGAAGGGATGGGACTTCTTGAAGTACACTCTGATGGAGTGAAGCTGGAAGAAGGACAGTCAGAGTTTCTTTTCCCGGTCTATGCTCAGGAGATTCACTCCAGAGAAGTAAGATCATCACAAACACTCACTTTTTCTCTGTCTTCTTCCCACATTCCTCCTTGTTGTCTGGTCTCTCTCTCCCTATCTGCACCCCATCCTCTCCAACTTCTGCTTTCCAATTAATCGTCAAACTGCTGTTTGCTCAGCCTAGGAGCCTGACAGCCTGCCCATTATTTCATTCTGTTTACCAAACGTTAAACCAGAGTGTTAGTTGGAAATGTGTGCAGATTGCATGTGCTGTTATCATCAGAATCTGCAGACACCCATGCAGATATTGTCTAGTCGTAGACGGTGTGCTGCTTATTTCTCACTGCAGTTCTGTATTTTTATTTTTTTGTGGGGGGGAACATGTCAGAACAAACTGGATTTGGCAGTCCCACGCAGTGCACATGGCGAAGCGCTCAGCTCCCCATTAACCTCAGGGATATTTGTGGTGGGGAGTAGTTTATGGCCTGCCTCCTAGCAGCAGATGGGAACACTTTGCTGCAGTTGTTTGCATGTTATGGCTTTTCTTGCTCATAGCAGCAATTTTTTTAAAGCTGTTTTTTTTTTCCTCTTTTTAATTTCACGGCTCTCATTAAAGAGACAATACATCCCTCATTTATGGTTGGGCACATTCTTTAATGTGTTAAATGGCGATCTAATATGATTCTGTGTCTCACCTCATCGTCCTTTGTCTTTTGTGTGAAAAGTTTGTTACTTGGATCATTTTTATAAAGGCGTCTTCCTCGCAGCGACATGGAAACAAAGTGATTTAATGCAGGGCAGCTTAATGTCAACATTTCAGGAAAAAACTTCTGTTTCTGTCTTCCAATACAAATTACTGACTGCTTTTTTATGCCTTTTACAGCTATTTCTGTAAAATAGTCAAATGCAAGTTTAGAAAAAAAATTGAGCGTGTTTATGTGTCATAGCACGAATCCAGGCCAATGTGTAAAATGTTTGATATGTTAACAAACGGCTGTATAAATATATTAAAGAATAATCAGGCGGTCAGTATATAGGAATCAGTATGTTGTTTAATCCTGCAAAATTATCATTTAGTCCAAAAAGAAACAAATGATTTTAGATGAATTATGAGAATGAATGCTTATAGTTGCCATTGCTCTTCTAATTTGAGGTTAGCAGCTTTAAAATTTGGAAATCTAAATCCGTTTTAGTCCTTAGTTAGTCCAGATCCCATAACTGCTTGGCTGAACAAGTCAAAGCCGCTTGCTCCTCTTTGTCCAATCTCAAGTTGGAGTTGGAGTTCTCGTACTCTTGTCCATAGAGTCGTCGGTGAGAAGAAATGCACAGGTCCACCAAGAGACATAATCCTCCAGCATGTCCTGGGATGTGCTTGGCATAACTCCTGAAGGAGGCGATTTAGGGACATCTGAAACAGATGCTGAGCCACCTCAGCTGAATCGACTCACCTCAGAGAAGCAACAGCTCCTGGATTGCCGAGCTCTTCATTCAACCATGCAGAGGAAGCTCATTTCAGCCATTTAAACCAAGGATCTTGTTCTTTTTTGGTCGTGACCCAGATTTATTGACTATAGGTGAAGGTAGGAATGCAGACCAACCTGTAAGTCTGCACCAGTCTGTTGTGGTGAAGAGAGAAATGATCCAAAAGGTTCATGTTAGGTTCAGCTCTTCACCACATCAGACGGCCGAACAGGTCCGTCTGTCAGTCTCTCCTGCTGAGTTCTTGTGAACTGGACTCAGAGATACTGAACTCCTCCAATTGAGGCAAGGATTCTTCTGCCCTTCAACATTGAGAGGGCGAGCCAGTCTTTCCTGGTTGATAACCATGGTTTCGGACTTAGACAAGCTGGTCTGCTCTTTGCACTCGGGTGTGAACCGCCCCAGTAAGTACTACAGGTCTTTGAAAGGAGCCAGCAGAGCCACCTCATCAGCTTTTTGTCTTACTGTTCTAATAAACTGAATTATTAAAGGTATAGGGGAAGATTTTCCTGAATTTTTGAAAAGAACCAGCCTCTCCACTAAAAAAAATGCACATGCATAACCCTGTACCTGCTCCCGAAAGGGAACGCCTATTAAATGGAGCCTAGGCGGAAGTTCAACTGAAGAAACTCATTGTTTTTCCTACATCCACCTGCGACACCGCCAATCAGCTTTGAACCAAACCTCCACGAAAGCCAATCGGCATCCAAAGTTCATCTAAAAAGGCCTTGATACGCACCTGTCTGCTCCTATACGCAGGCGGGGGATACACTGTGACTTCATTCAGATGACACCGTTTCAACCCACCTCCAGCCCCTCCTCCACCTTTGTAGCTAAAGCTTCACTAGAGCGTCATTCCTCCCGAACAGTGGATCTCCCCATAAAGCTCAGCAGACCGTCTCGCTACCCAGCAGTCTACAGACTGACCAACTTCATCTATCTCCACTCCACCACCAGTTTCAGGCCTGGGAGGGAAACAGCCCTATTCTTTGCTCCTGTTCATGCATTCTATAAAAATTTAAGTGCTATGTTTCCTACTGAGGTCTGAGCTCCAAAGTCAAAGTTATTGTATCAATAAATTTCTCCTAATTGTCTTTTCTCTTTGTGTGAGTTTTTCAGATTGAAATGTGTGCGAGGGCATGCACAAGCCCATATCTCCTTTTTACTAGCAGTGATGTGAGATGGGTTTCTCCAAATAGCATGCCGACCTTGTCTGCCTACCTGTCGAGTAGAAACTTTGTAACCGAGTAGGAACCCCCAACCTGTGCGTTTAGTGTACGCCATTGTGGGAAAGAATCTCTCAAAAACACTCTGGTCTTGTTTCTCTCTTCTGAGGCCTTTCTCTTCTTCTCATACACTCCGTAGACACTTTTTCTCTTACGACCCTCAGCCATTTTCAAAGAACTGCGGTGAGAAAGGTGAGCTTCAATGACTGGCTGAAACCGTAGCTCACCACAGATATGCCTGAAAGTGTAACAAACATATCACCAGAATGCTTGACAATTAGGAGAACCACTTATTTTGATGATCCACCCGGAAAAATAATTCTCCCCTATACCTTTAAGTCCATGTTTTAGGGGTTCGGGAGCTTAAAAGTTCCAAAACAGTTTGAGTGGACAGGAAGTGGGATATAATATTTTATTTATGCACTCTTTTTAAGAGTTTAGTTTTCCAATAGTTTATCTTTGGGGGCAAAGTCCAACTTTCCAAGTCTATATGTGCATCCCAGTTGTCTATTTCTTTTAATTGTTTGTATCAGAGGCTCTAAAGTCGTTTTTTTGTTGTTTGTCGTCTTTGCCTTTAGGATTCCTCCCTGGTTGTGCATTCATCAGAAGATGTTTCCCTCAACGCCCGCGATGAGAACGGGAATGTTACGGCGAGGACATCCGTGGGTAAGAGAACACAGAGACAATCCAGCGCTCACACCACACTTCTGCATGATGTGTGAGGGCGATAGTAAAGTCACTTGTGTTCTTATCCTGCAGGGATTCCTCATCCTACATTAGCAGTGACAGGATACCATCTGTCAGTTCATAATCTCTTAGATTTCCATTTAAAAGCTATTACAGGCAGTGTTCCTGTGTCTGACCATGCTTCTGGATCATTCCTGCTTCCATGGAGGGCTTGGGGCCCGCGGAGGGTCATATTTGTACATCTTTTATAGTCCTCCGATGGCCACGTTTGGATGCTTTGTCATGATTAAAAGGCCAGCAAATGACCCAACTAATTACTGTGTTCCACGATGCCATTATGTGTCCTTGATCGTTAAGTCGTAAAACGCATAGCCTGCATGCTCTCAGCTCCGGGAGCATAAAACCGAAATGCTTGTTAGAGAAGATTATGTGTCGGTTCACAGTTGTAGACCCAGACACCGGGTTAAATATCTTGCCGAGGGACCCTCCTGCTGTAGATTGCACTCCCACAAGGCTGTGAACACAGATGTAATGAAGGGCAAAGAGACTGACCTGTGATGAGGCACCTTTCAGTAAAAAACTAATGAGGTTACCTGTTAACGTCTTGGAGTTAAACATGCTGAATTGATCTACTTCTAGACTTCATCTCAGCATCTCTAAAGCTGAAAAATGTCCTTAAATTTTCTGTGCATACAAGGTTAAAAATACTGAAAGAGAGAAAGGAGGTAAATTCTATTCATGCACTGCTGCCAAACGCCTCCAGGTATTTTCTGTTATTGTTGCAGGTCCAAAAGAGGCCCAGGGACATACTCAGAACGTTCTCATCAACTCCCACAATGACAACATGCTGTTCAGTTCAGATGGCGAGCAGACTGTGATCGGTCCGGACAAACTCAGAGTCACAGGTAATGTGGGCGGATGCCTTTGCATGCTGCTTTTTTGGATATAGCACACACCTGTTGGCAGGAAGAGTATAGAAAAAGATAAACCCGACAACAGATGTGACAACATGAGCTTTAAGGCAAACAGTTTTCATGGTGGTTTTGGATAAATGGCAGAGTTACAAAAAATTCAATCAATCAGCTTTTTTTTTAAAATAGTTTTATTGTCATTACACTGTCAGAGCAACGAAATTAACTCTGCATTTAACCCATCCCCTTGGGCTGCCATAGTGAGGCGCCCGTGGAGCAGTGTGGGGTTAACGGTTTTGCTAAGGAACCCAGAGTGGAGGCTGTGGAACCTTCTCAGAGCACAAACCCACTGCTCTAAACCACTAGGCCAACACTCTCCAGATAATTTTCTTTACAACATTGAAAAAAGGATTAAGGGGCTCAACGGTGAAATAAAACAAAAACCCAAATTCAGACATTAAAAAAAAGGGTTAACTTAAAACCATATAAGAAACACAAACTCCACAAAAATGTATGCCAGCTTACAAAAGCCCTACGACTTATTAAAAGCCAATTTGAAACAATAAGATAATAGTTCAGTATTAAAAAGTATTGGAATAAAAAAAGAGTAAAACCATTGAAAGCCTTGGAAGTCACATCTGGATGGGTTTGTTAGAAGGCGAACCGCTGCATTATGAAGGTAAGCAAAGAAGGTCTGTGTGGATAACATTTTCCAGGTCACAATAAGAAGGAAAAGATTTTGCTTTGGTTTGGAGGAAGAGCTGGAGAAAGTTGTAAAATTTGGAGAAAGTTACATTAGACAACAAAATTTATGTTTGTCAAATTTGATGCTAATGTCCAAAGTTACTAAAAATCTTAAAATATTTCCAATTTTCTTTCCTGAAGTTGAAGCCAAAGAACCCTAGTTTTGTAAAATGACAGAGAGGAAATAAAATACATATAACCTTCTTCTTGTTTTTCATTTGTTTTGCAGAAATAGATTTTAGGACAACCTTAGCTTTAGCTCCTTTAATCGACTTAGAGCTGGACTTCAGGATTTCACTGGGTTTAATTGGCAAATGGATTAGAATGAATTAGAATAACCTTGAAAGAAAAAAGAAATGCATTTAGGGGAAACAGGAGAGCGCCAAGAAAGGAACCTTGATTTTCCCCACAGAAGAGTGATACACAGTTTAAAAAATTATCAACCTTAATAGAAAAAACTGATGTTTGTTGGAGCTGTGGAGCAAATATTTAGAGGAGATTCAATAGTTTTTTTTACACACCAAGAACCTTGATCTTCAACGGTTTGTGCGTCTTAAAATCGGGCAAACATGTTTCTACACGCAAAGCAGATCATCAAATAAGGTGCAAAGTAATTAGCATTTGTAATTCAGGAGACAGCATGTGCAAACCTTTTTTTCCTGTGTGTGTTTGCCTTCATCAATATGCAGATCATGTTCTAGTGACCAAACTGTGCAAGTTCATGGATGGAAGATATGCAAATGTAAACATTTACCACATGCAAAGCAATTTTCCAAATCACAAACTCGGCTGCAGTTTTTTTCTGTTTTTTGTGGTGCAAACTGACACCCAAAATGATCTTGGTCATTGTTGCAAAAAAAAAAAAAAAAAATGCCACATATAAGGCATTAGTTAAATGCCAGATGATGGAGAGTGATTCTTTGCACATGTAAACATGTTTGAAATATTGAACAGAATTATTGTGGCATGTTTTTTTGCATATGAAAAAAATATATTGAAAAAGCCTGGAAAGACATGGGGGTGGGGGTGGTAAATCGTGTCAAGGTGCTCTTGAAAGAAAGTGATGGAGATAAATCCAGAGGTAATCTGTCCTTAATCAGCAGACAAAACTAACTATGCAAAAGAGTTTTGTGGTATTTTATGTATTTTTATGTTTAACTTTATTTTTTTTTACTTTTGTTTGTAGCAATTTAATATACTCAGGTGTACTGTGCATATTTAGAATTTTCATTATTTGTTTTAAAACAATTATAATTATAACCTCCCTCTCCATGGCTTTAAATCTCATCTTTCTTTATAGACACTCTCCAACTGCCTGTAGTAAACACAATGGGCTTAGTTTAATGGATGAAACTAAATCAGTTTACACATCTTAACATATGCACAGCAGTCTTTGTAGATCAGCTGCAACACAACCACTGACAGGATGTATTTTAGAGGTCCTTACTTGGAATCTTTGAAAATCAGGCCACAAGCGAGGAAATTTGTAAAAATGATAGAGAGATGTTAACATTTGGTTAATTTACTATCCTTGTATGTAATATTCCTTAGTAGATTTACCTTGCATTTTATTATAAAAATGCATGGAACTGAACCATTTTTTAAGGACCCATTTATAACTATCCTTATGTTTATTCAAACTGATCATCAAAAATTTTAAAACAATTGGAGCAATACTAAAACATACAACAGAGCATTAGGGCAAGGCTAGAGATTTTTTTATTTTTAAATTTAAATTCGTAATATTATGAGACTAAAGTTGAAAAATAACGAGAATGAAGTCGTCATACCAAAATCCGTTTCAGAAAGAAAGCTTTGAGCTCTGACCAGCATATGAAAGCCGACTAGCTCCACCGAACAGCAACCTGAGTCCATTTTGAGATGCTGACCAATTTGATGCTGGGGTTCTGATAGACTTAATATTTCCTTATTTGTGAAACCCATGCCAAAATATAGCTTCACATGATGCTCAACATTCCTCATTTTAGGGAAGAATTGTCATAAAATACAACTTTGTTCTTGTATTTTTAGGGCTTTATTCTCATAACGTTGCAACATTATTCTACTAACATTACGACTTTATTCTCGTAATTTCCTTACTTTATTCTCGTAATGTTACGACTTTATTTCTCATAATTTTATGACTTTATTCTCATAATATTACAACTTTATTCTCAAAATAAATGAAAACTCTCTAGCCTAATACTCTGTCATAAAAACAAGCCTTAACGAGGGCTTAGGTTTATTCTAGCTTCAGGAACAGTGAGGATCATGGAGGGAGGTAAAAGAATCTCCAATGGTCACTGCATTGGAGAATGGCATCTTGTGTTGATCGTATTTCAATGTTAACCTTTAGATAGTATTTACAAGCTTACCAGCTGTTAGAGACGCATGGCAGCCAGAAACCTTTTGTGTTCATTGTCAAAGAAACCTGAGAACCTTGTTGGAGTGAAATATCTACATAAAGTTATGTTTTAGGCTCTAGTGGCCTTTTAGTTAGTTTTGAAAGTATGCAGACAGGAAAGTGGGTTTCAAGAAAGGGGAGACATTGGGCAAAGTTCAGCAGGGTGGGGGGGTGAACCTGCAACAGCCATTATATGGGTCCTACAATCTACCTCCATAGCATCCCTGCCTATTTCCTTAAATAAAAACTTTTGGGGACCCTGATGGAAAACTTAAAGTTTGTCATTATTGATGATTTCGAAGGTTTGACCCTAGAAGAACTGATTAAAAAATATTGATTCCACTACCTTTGGGTGTGGGGAGGGGGGTGAACAAAAACATATTATTGCTTCATCACTATTATGTGTGACACATTAAAAATGTACCCACTTTACTATGTTGTGGTTTGTGTAACGGAGGGCTTCAGTCGGTACCTGTATTTTTGTAACTCATCTTTCTGTAGATCTTTTTCAGAATGCTGTGCTCCTGGATTTGACTAGCATCATCCTTGTGCTTTTCTGTTGCGTAATGTCTGAGCAGAATATGGCTGTCTGGAATCGACACAGCAGAAAGACTTTTTTTCCTACAAAAGATTATTCAAATTTCAATTCAATTCATTTTATTTATACAGCACCAATTCCCAGCACACTTCATCTCAAGGCTCTTTACAGAGATAATTCAATCAGATTACAGAGTCAGACTGCTACAAATGTTTGTGTCCAATTAAAATCAGCTGATTCTATGAATAAGATGGACCCAATGAGAAGTAAAGGAACAGGAGCTACAATTATTACATATATACAATAAGTTCAGCTGCAGCCCCTGTTCCATCATAGATAATTAGTCCCTATAGACAGAACAGGAGTTTCACCATATATCATTTCTTGCACATAAGATATTTAGGCTCAATCAGAATTGGACAAATTAGTAAAGACGCTTAAGCCAAAGTGAAAGTGTTTCAGCAGTCGCCAAAAAAGGGGTGCTGTCCAAACAGGGATAGTAGGAAGAGGAAGCAGGATGCTTCCTATTGATAGTTCATTTAGCTCTGGGACCTTGACATTCCTATCCATCGCTTAAAACAGGAAGGACTGGTGGGACATAATTGAGATTTAGGTGTTATATTAGGGCTGAGTGGAACATCAAGGGTATCAGTTCTGGTTGGAGAAACTGGTGTTATATAATAGATTTTGGGAATTGGCTCTGAGCTCGTCTGCCTGGCTGTGTGTTTTTTTCTGGATGGGGCCGCCTTTTACAGCTGCTTTTTGTATCTCTGCTTCTGTCTCCTTGAACCCCAGTCGGCCTCGGTAGATGGCCGCACACAGTGAGTCTGATTCTGCTGGAGGTTTCTTCCTGTGAAAAGAATGTTTTCCTCTCCACTGTCGCTAAGAGCATGCTTAGTGTGAGGGATTGCATTCGAGTCAATGAATCGATGCAATAAACTGGTTTTCCTTGGATAGAAAACTTTGAATCAATTTGACTGTATGATCTAGTGAACTGTAAAGTGACTTGAGACGACGTGTTGTGAAGCGGCGCTATAGAAATAAACTGAACTGAATTGAATTTGTAGCTCCTACAGGAAGGACTGATGTGACATATTCTGAATCATGTTGCTAAATGAAATCACAGTGTTCACATAAACCTTCCTTCTTCGCTATTGTGGTACTAAACCCATTAGGATCAGCTAAACATTTTATATAGGAAGACTTCTTTATTTTTTACCATCCACTGTATATATCTGGATGCGCTGTATATACTTCATGCACCTTTCCCTCCTTAGTGCACCTTCTGTTTGTTTATAAGAGCCTTTGTCACCAGTGAATTTCTCGGTTGTGAGATCAATAAAGTTTTATTCTATTCTAAAAGCAGCGAATGAGGGCAGCAAAAAGTTGCAAGAGTCTATGCTAATATGTTCCTCTTTGCCTTTTTAAATCTGGATAAAAAAAAATTGAAATTTCCCTTTATTTCTCATAAAATATATATAACAGTTTTTTAAAGACAAACCTCTTTTAAAATGTTAAGCTATACATATAATAGCATTTTGATGGCCCTTAGTTCAACTGAATTTAAATCCATCAGTGCCATAAAGAATGAGATCACATCATGCGAACAATTAGAACTTTGAACCAATAAGCTGCATCATCAAAGCACACAGCAGCTTTTTACATAGCAAAGAGCTGGAGGGCAACTATTTTCAGATATTTCTAAGCTGCATTCTGGATATCTGAAGTTTATTGTGGTAATGTTGGTGTGTGCCACTGACCTCACACTGTGATGACTGATTAAACAGAGGGGCAGCTGATGGTTTCATTCTGCCTCCGGTCAGAGCGGCAAAATGAGCTGGCAGAGCGTTTCTCCTTTTTTAAAGTCAAGCACAGCAGAGCTCCAAAGAGTCTGGTGTTGTGTAGTCATTTAGTACCATAATCTGAAGATAATGATGCCAGGTATTAGTAACGTCCTATTTATTGAAGGTTTCATTCATAGAAACGTCCTGTATACATTTTTCAGCTAACTGTAGCAAACTTCTACATCTACTGATAAATTGTATTTATCTGTTTGTTTTCTCAGGGCCTGAGGGAGCTTTATTCCAGCATTCTGTGGAGGTTCCACTGCTAAAGTCAGAACCATTAAAAGACCTAAAGTGAGCACCGCAAGTAATTAATCTGCAATAAACAGAGAGCTCATCTGATATCATATCAGTGCTCCCATCTTTAATATCTGAATTAGTGCTGTTCATGAGAACAAAACAATCTGTTTGTAAGCCTTAGGTGTCTATCTGCAGGTTGGAGTGTCCGACCCGCTCTGTGACTGTGGATGCACCAAAAGGAGTTCATCTCAAAGCTGTGGCTGGAAACATCGAAGCTGCTTCCAACATGGACGTCCTCCTGGAGTCGAGTGTGGGGCTGGTAAAGAAAACTGCTTTACACTCCCTTCTGTCTACTCCTCATCTCCCCCTAGATCAGTGGTTCCCAAAGATTTTCTTCTGGGCCCCCCTTTGGATTACAATAAAATTTCTACTTTAATCCTCCCATCTTTTCAGTGGCTGTAGTGAGCCTGCTTGTTGCTGTAGATGTTCTCAAATCTGGGTTGCAGTGTCACAACTGTCCATTATGCTCAGTCAAAGCAAGCCCTTTTTTTTTTTCTTTTTTTCTTTTTTTTTCTTCATTCATCCATACCGCTTACCGTGCCCCCCCTGCAATGGCATTGCGCCCCCCCCTAGGGCGCGCCCCACACTTTGGGAACCACTGCCCTAGATGAAGCTGCTTAAAGCTTTTGGCAGCTTTAGGCTTCCATTATCTCACTTAGCCACACCTGGGAGCTCCAGCACAGCTTGACAGACTCTTTGCTTTTTAAGGTTACTGGACATTTATGTCTAAAACATGGCAGAAACGCCCCACAGAGAGCTTTTTTTCACCAACCTTTGAGCTTTCCCACCTTTTCCTATGTAAAATTACAAAATTTAATGTATTTAATCAAGATTTTAAGTTTTAGGGAAAAGGAATGAGAAGGAAAGGAATACATGGCTTTCAGATTTTGTAAGAAAAAAAGAAATCTAAAAAGTCTGTATTCAGCGCACCTCAATTCATTATATATGTTATTATTATATATTATGTATTTATTCAAGTGGAAGAATAACTAATTAATAATTTGGATTGATTAATAAAAGTTATCTTAGTTGAATTATCACATTGTATATACTCTAACATCCCCAAAGGACTGCTTGGACATAATCCTCTACTTCATCCTACTTTCCTTTGTCCATGTGTTATTTCCTTTCACTGACTGAAAAATGAATCCTGAGCTATGGCAACTTGTTCTCCTAATTGTGCAGCTGGTGCTGGATGCTGAGACGGTGCGCATGCCAAGCCTGCCGCTGAGCAAGGGAGGCGTTTCTGGAAATACTCAGGGTCTCTATGAGGTCTGTGTCTGTCCCAGTGGAAAGCTCTTCCTGTCCAAGGCTGGGAGGACTTCCACTTGCAGCGAGAATCAGGACTGCTAGACAGACTCTGACAAGGTCATCGACTTTTCATCTCTCTGAAGATGGATCTTCTGGGAGGCAACAAGCACAACTGTTTATATGGAGCGCAAGTTTGCTTCCTTTCTAGTCTTTTTAAAGCTCATACCCAAGTGGATCTGTGGTTTCCCCACTTGCATATCTAGTTGTGTAAAATGAAAAAATGCTTTTGGCACGCATGTCACAGATTCCCAGAAATACATATTTTACAGTTGAAGTGATGCCGACTTGCTTTCCAGTTTAAAAGGGTGTGCGGCACAGATTTGTAAGAATGTTTTTACACGAATAGTATCATGGCTGGGCAATGAGGAGCTGGTAACAGCTTACATCCTATGCAATATTATCTTGTGGTGCAATAAATAAATGAATACATGTTAAGGCCTTGGAAAACAGGGAATGAAATAGTTCTAGAATATTTTATTTTAGAAATATTTATTTTAGGTGATTTAGCTTTCATCAGAACCTCCAAGCCCTTGGTATGTAGTGTTTTTGTCTTAGAGTGCGACTTTATTTAACGAAGGGGGGAATTGGTACGTTTTGAATTTGCTCTAGAGAATTTAAAGACCATGTTTTTTGTTTTTAAGTCCAATGTTGTCATATTTTGTATATATATAAAATAAAATAAAAAATAAAAAAATATATGTTAATATCACCAGTTCAGTATCACATGAGAGGGATCTTACTTGTGAATATGTAATTAACGGGGTTAGTTTAGGGAATGGATTCACAAAAATGTAACTTAGGCTCTCCTGTTTGTTTAATAGGCTGATTTAATGTCTAAAGTCAGCTGGAAATGAAACATGGAAGCTGAACCAAAACACACTAAAACCTTCGTCAGGGATACTTGAATGAATTGAAAGGGGAATGATTGTTTCTAACTGCTTCAGTGCTTTGCATCAGGGGTGCTTTCTTTTAACATTTTATGGAGAACAGGAGCTCAACATTTGCCTTTGCAGTATGGATGGTGTTTGCTAAAAGTGTCTGAAGGGCAACATTTTCTACAGTTTTTGTGTGTAATGATTTATTTTATGGGTTTGTTGTATTGATTGTGCTGTGTTGGCATTGTGAGATAAAAATGAAGAAAAATAAAGGTGATATGCAGCTCTAAACTCAGGTCTGGCATATTTAAATTAATGTAACGTTTATTTATTCATTTTGTATAGTAAATAAACGTTGGTTTGCTTTTCAATTTTCCTGTCAGTGGAATTAATCTGTATTCTTTTTTCTGAAGGGTATTTTTCCTCATTTGGATCCGATGACACTTTCTTTTTTACATTTGATTTAGTGGTAAACAAAGGAACAACAGAAATATGGTCTGTCATACTGCTGGATGGCTGTGATCAGGGATGCCCTCTGCTGGTGAGGACCTGAAGTTACATAAATAAGTTTCTGTTTAAAGAAATAAAGACATAAAGTTGAGGCCAAAATCATGAATTAAAATTATGCAACCAATTAGTTGGTTTCTGATTGAAAATGAGGTAAACATATGTCTTAAACACTGTAAGATAGCATACATGGGAAAAAAGGAAGAGAAAAATCTGATTAAACATTTGTTTCATATTGTGCAATTTCAAAAATCAGTCAAGGAAATGAAGATTTATTGACATTAAAGCAGTTAAACCCTTCCTTTGGTTACTAGGCTTTTTCCTTTTGATATTCTGATGGTTTATCTGTTGTAATAAGCTCAAAATATTTGAGGTTGGAGTGCCTCCTTGTCATCACCATAATCTTTCCTCCACAAATCCTTCTTTTACACTTTCCACATACAAATTCACTCAAGTCTAGACTGTGGTAGTGGCTCTCCAGCATTGGGAATTCCAAACACCTGATCTTTTGCTTTGTTTTCTTTCTGAAAACCATTTTTTTTTAAATATCTTCAGTAGATAAAGTTCATCGCCCTCCACACACCTTTCCTTTTTTCCCATTTTATAACGTAGCAATCTCAAGCATTGAAAACAGGGAAAATTAGCCTCCTAACTATGATCACCCTAAATAAAATGTGGAATTGGCTGTGTGTGATACATCACATAATTACCAAGTGGAACATCACTGTGTGTGACTTCATCTTGGTGTAAATGCAGATGATTTGATGAGACCTCAATTTTGTTAGATTGAGAACAAACTGTGTCATAAATTTTAAGCGCACAGCAGACTGGCTAGGAAAAGTTGAGAGGAAATTTAAAGAAGAATTATATAACAAAATATCTGAAACTTTCAATGTCTCATTAAGCACTGCTCAACCTATCAGGACAGGCTATCCTTGCACACTGACAGGCCCGGCAAGAAGAGTGATAATAAGAGAAGCAGCCTCCAGCCCATTGTAACTTTGTTAGGAAGTGAGACACTAGTCATATTATTTAAAAATCTGTTTTTTAATGAGGAGTGTAATGAATAAACCTGATTTAAACTTTCCACAATCCATGTAAATATCGAATAAGCAGAGGAAGGTCCTCTGGTCAGAGGACCAAAGCAAAACATTTTGATAAACACGCAAAACTAGCTTTTGATTTTAACCTGAACAAGCATTGACATCATAAAACATGTCAGTGGCACCATTATGCTGTGAAACTTTATTTTTTATTGTGACAGTGAAACTGGTCTGAGTTAGTTGGAAGATGAACAACATTTAACAAGGAAAATCCTGAAAGAAAGGCTAAAAAAATTGGAAATGGGGTAGAGGTTAACTTTCCCTAGCAGGAGCAACCGTAAGGGTACAGCCAGAGGTGGGACATGAACGAATGTTCATGCATCATGCCAAGTCCAGGGCTCAATCCGAAAATACCTCATATCAGTCAGGGCACTTAAGACATGGCAGAAGTGTGAGTGGTCGTCACAGTAAGTGCTTTCCAAATAGTGCTGGTAGTAAAGAAGGAACTAGGCTGAGGAAGCAGGAACATCTTTGTTTAAGGGGAATTTATTAGGCCTCACTGTGGCACAGTGCACATCAGCATGTTTGATACTCAATGTTCATTCAATGACATAATATAACAAGTTTCCTGACATTGGAAATAAAATAATACAAGAGATTACCATATTCTAGGTCGTATTTCATTGCAAATGACTTACAAAGTATGTGGTCAGTGTGAGTGTATTTTTAAAAACAGATAAAAGTCAAATCAGATCATTAAATCAGCTAATAAACACAAGCAGAGCAAACTTGTGCCGTTATGTTATTGAAACAAGACAAGTTTTCACAACAAAAACATATGGACATGGTTGAAAATAAAAAATGTAACACATTGCATTTGGGCCCACGGCATAACTCCTAATTCATATGGCTCTCTTACACAGCAACAAAATGATCAGGTGTTTTCTTTCCATATTCAGAAAAATGTACAGGAAGTTCACAGATGTAATACATTTCAGTGATTAAAAAAAGACTAATTAAATTAATATAAAGTGTTTCTTTTCACAGTTAGATTCTCCAAAGTTTCCAAGGACACTGATGCTACATAAGTGTAAATGCAGGTGAAATTCAAAAAAGTGCTTAGTCCATAAACAAGTGACTGGCTATGTTACAGGAAATGTACAACTTTTACAGAAATTATATGAAAAAAAGTACAAAAACAGAACATTTACAAACATGACTGTATTTTCTGGACTTGTAACTCTATTAAAGAAGGGCACGCTGCGAGAAAGCAGTGACTGTATTTAAGAAGGTTTATATTTTTTGACAAGCGCATCTTTTATGACTCAATTTGTTTTCTCTAGCAAGAAAATATATACTTTTGTTTTTATAAAAGATAAAGTCAAAAAGCTGCATATCTTTAAAACTAACAAAGCAAATATAGTTAGTGTGGGGACTTTGGTAAACAAAACATATTGCTGAGGCATATCTATGTACAGCCTATGCACGTATGTAGGCCAACATGTTATGAAAGCCATGTGTTTATTTACTGTGCATGGGCCACTGTCCCGCTTTCACAGACAGAAACTGCATATGTAGTAAAAAGTGCCAGGGGAATCTTTGCGATCTCTTTTGCATACAGCCATATGAGTTCTTGATTCCACTGAGAATATACATCTAGCAAATTTTTTGCTGCACAAATGTTTCGAGTTTTATAATAATTCTTGCAGTACATTCCATCACCCTCATTGCCACCTCTGATGTGTATCTGTCATTTGGGATCTGTGGAAATGGCAGAAGATCGGGGTAACGGGTTCTCAGGCTGTCCACACCATATCCTTCTAAGATCTGAACATCACTTGCAAGACCTTTTAACTGGGAGTTGTACTCTTCAACTTTCTGAGCCAGAGCAGTTGGCTTAACATCTTTGTCAGATTTTCCTCTGACTGCGTAGTCAGCAGCTATTAGGGCAAGCTTTGTAGCCAAGTAGCACTTGAAACAAACCCACTCATTAGCATTTTTATGAAGATCATTGCGAGCAGCAGAGTAGTTGGCTCTGGCTTGCCTCAACCACCTGCGGGCCTCAACAGGGTTTCCAACTGTCTTGAAGGTTGGGGGTACAAAGAAACGGTGGGAATGTGAGGACCCTGCATAGTTAGTGTAATGTTCCCTGAACTGTTGTCTTTCTGACTTGTGACTGGTTGCTTCCTGGTTCCAGGATGAATAAAACCTTTGAAATGAGAACTTGTCTGATTGGAAGCGGGTTGATGATGTGGAGAAGGTTCTCCTGGAAGCTCTGTCTGCATTTTGCTGATCAGTCAAAGACTGTTTCTCCATCCGATTGATCTCATTTTGTAGGTGCTTGAAGACTTCAGTTGCGATGTCAAGGTTCTCAGCATTTTTGTCTGGATGCCATTTAAGATACAATCGACGGATTATCTTTTTTCTCTCTGTCTCTGGAAGCTTCCAGGCTTGTTCGATGACTAAGGTAACCTCTTTCAGAATCTCAGGCAACGTGTGAAGTTTAATCTTTTTGGGAGACTGTTTCTGAGGAGGTGGTCTTAGGTTTTCTTTACCAGAGAGCAGAGGAGGAATCATGCGTAAGCCAGAAGATCGACTTTCTGGGCTTGTAGGGGTTTGTGGAGAATTACTATCTCGGATATGGGTGCTTTCATCTTGTCTTGAAAACTTGTACAAGTCAAGGGAACTTACTATTTTGTACTCACTGTAACCAATATCAATCTGGAAGCATTTTCCAAGGAAACTAGTGTTTTCTTCCTCCTCTCTTTCTACTTCTTGAACGATGATAGCATATGTATAGGTGGGCTGATAGGCACCATATATGTCTCCACCCTCAGAGTCAACAAGGTAGCCCACATATTCCCCTGGATAAAAAACATTCATTGGATCCATGAGCAATGTGTGGTGTATTTCAGATGGTATTGGGGTTCCAGGGAGGGGTAGTTCAAGTTTTGATGGTTCTGTTGAGTCATACTTGACACCAAGATTGTCTAGTTTCTCTGTGATTCTGTAGATGTCATTACAGCCCAGCATTGCAATCAGATAGGATGTGTCTGAGATCAAGTTGTCTGTAGCAGACTTCAGTGTCATAGCCAGTGCCAGAAGAAAGTTTATATCTTTGCTATCTGAATGCTGGATATAGAGATGAATCACAGATGTCCCATATCTCTTTAGGAAAGCAAGAGTTTCACTGCGACTGTGTAGGATGGGACTGCATCCTTTCACTCTTAAAGTTGTCTGTAGTTTTTCAAAACAGGACACTTTCAGTCCCTCACAAAGCGCTTTGCACAGACGTATGGCTTTTTCTTCATTGACAAGGTATGCACTATCATTCTCATGCTTCATTATCCTAATCAAACCAGTGATGAACTGCTCTGAGGACAGCAAAAGCTGAAGTCGGCCTTGCAGAGAGCAAAGCGCTCCGAACTGACACATTTTTGGAGAATCCTCGTCAAGCTGCTCTTCAAGAATGCTGCTCAATAGTCTAGGTCTTAGCTTCTGAGGAAGTAGCATGATAAGCTTTGTATGAAAAGCATGGTCTTTCCCCAGATAACATTGACTCATGTCCACTAGCATCTGAACCCCAACATTACCCTGAATTCTGCTTTTATAGTGTGGGGCATCATCAAACACAAGGGTATTGGATTTTGCAAGTCTTCCATCATGGCTTGGCAGATAAAACATTAAATCTCTGAGACTCTCAAGATCTTTGCGAATTTCCACTGGATCATTGTGAAGTGATTTAAATAATCCTGAGACCACTCTTTTGACAGTTCTCATTTCGTTTGGGTC